CAGGTTGCAAGTACACGAAACAGCTATGACAATGGCACATGTAACTCAAGCGCTCACTGAACCTCACTTCTAACGTTTCATCAGAAAGCCGAGATGCAGATCTTCGTCGAACGACATTGCCTGTCCAGGTAATTAGACTATACGGCTCTTTGCTGCACTGTCCAGTAACTGGAAGTACTACTAGTCAAGGAGGTAACTGCATAAAAACTTACCCTAAAGCTGCGAATACCGGTAATTCTTCCACCAAAAAGGACTCTGTCGGTATACTCGTCTGGTAAAATGCGGTTATTACGCCTGGAAAGTCATACGCGTAAGTAGAAACAAGCAAAAGAGCTATGAAGCTAATTTTCCAGGGAAGCTTTGATGCTTCGAATTTTTTCCTTCGATTTTAAAAAAGGGTATTCATACTGAAAAGTACCAAATTTCTTGAACTCAAGCAAAATGCAGTTTGAGCAAAATACTTGATCAAACATTTTCAGTCTCACTAACAAATTTCTTAGAACAGTTCAACTGCAAGATCGCGCATTTATATGAGTAAAGGTACTGAAGCGATTTCCGGCCTTTTTGAAAGCTGGAGTCAAGAGAATGTAAGCTTTTTCTTTTAACAGTCATCCCTTAAACGCACAAAAAGACCGGATCAAAAGCGTTATTTTTATGATGTTCCGCTTTCTTCGTGCCCGACTACCCGAGTACTGAAAGCGAGTGAACTCACCGGACTGCTCAGCAGTAACAAAAAAATTGGCAAAACGAAAAACAATAGCACTGCAGGTGGCTGCTAGAAATCCACGCCAATAATTTTTAACAGCAAAATATTTCGATGTCGATTCGATAGCATACAGCACTGCTGCAAATCTGCACTAATCACAGATGAAATTTTAACTGAGCTACATGAAATTCATATTGTCATACAGGCTTCCGTACATGCCGGGCCAACTAAACAATCAATGTGGTGATCCCATGTCTTTTGTCCAAATAAATATGTAATATTTTCTATTTCCTATTGCATTTGTTACTATTGTTTACTATTTAGACAGTTCAGGTTAGCCATCATAAATTATCATAATCTAATGCATTTTTGAATCCGTATAAATGCAAGCGTGTAGTATAAAGCGGTACTCGAGCTTCATCTGAAATGACCTGGTTATTTGAATTCGGATCACACAAACGCCATGACTTCTAGCAAAAAAATATAAATTGCTGATGTAAACACTTGTACTAATACCTCCGACAGGAGCTGAGAATGTACATGCAATGCCAACAGCACAGCCGGATGAAAGCATTTCCATTTCGCGACCTTCGTTTGAAAAAAATGCGGTGTACTGGCAGCTAGTGGTCACTTTGCTTAGAATTGTCGCTACAATCGCTCCCATATGCACAAATGGCCCCTCAAACAGTTCTTCGATAAACAGTACAGTGAGGCAAAAAGTTTGCAAGAACAAGCTTTTTTTAGTGAGAACGTGGCCTACAGTAACCTGTACATTTTAAGAACCCAGGCTGGAACGCACCAGGCGAGCCGGTGCGATCATGCGTTTTTGCATCAAACTTTGA